TTTAAGTACAGGCTAATTAAATATTTATATAAAAATACAATTAAAAAGAAAATTTTATATATTTACATCATTGATATGAAACAATTTAGAATTTTTGTTATATTTAAAAAGCATTTAATATTATTTGTTTAATAATTTGAAATCTAATAATTTACTAGTTTGTGTAAATTTTAATTAAAGTTACATAAAATACATTAAAAATGAACATATGTTTTTTTTACATTAAATGATATTATTTGAAATTAAATTATATTAAGTTATATAAATTTGTGTTATAGCTATTTAATATGTATATGATTATAAAGTTATATAAATTTGTCACGTTCGTTATAGCATATGTTTTATATAAGAGAAAATTCATTCATCAATTAGAATATGTAAGAAATCATGCCGGACCTTTAAATATATCGCGTATAAATACATGTAAACGTGATTCTGAAAATATATTCACAACTTATGCTTTGAGATCATAGAGTCAAGCTTATCAATTTTAATTACAAACTAGTCGCAATCGAAAAATCTTATTGACATTATATAATAAAAGTTAAGTCGTTAAATTTTTCATTTCGATATTAATTCCTAAAATATTTGAATTGAAAATATGATTGACGTAAGAATTCTGGATTAAGAAAGTAGCGCTTGACGTTAGATAATGATATCAACGTAATCACAGCCGACATCATTTTTATGTAATTGAAACGTGTCTTTTAATTTATGATATCTAATTTATAATAATACATAATATATGATTAAAAAGAAATAAATTTCTATTATTCTTGAGAATCTACAAAGACGTTTACACTTAGAAACTTACAGGCACTTAGAAAAATCATTGTCATTAATTTTATGACAAATTTCGTAATGAATGATTCAAAGAAAAATTCTTCTTCTATTATCATCTTTCTTACTAATTCCATTGTTTTTTATGATTGTAAACTAGTTGAAAAAGGCTTCCAATTGAAATTTTAATTAATATAGGTATTCCGGAATTGGATGTGCCTCCTATAGAACCGTTGGTAATTCCCGAATTGAAAATGGAGAACGGTCAAGGTCCAGTGCGTGTTAGAGCAATTTTCACTAACATCACCACAATAGGACCAGGAAACTATAGCATCAGTAAAGTACGAGTGAATTTACCATCATATAGATTTGATCTACATCTATCTTTACCGAAGATCGACATTCATGGTAGTTACGATATTAATGGGAACGTACTCCTCTTCCCCATACAAAGTCACGGCGATTTCTGGGCATTATTCGGTAAGGATTTCTCTGAGATATAATAAAATATTAATCATAACTTATCAAACAAATATACCATAATCTTAATTGCGAATAAATCTTCTAATATTTACACCTTGATATTTTAGGAGACGTAAAGGCAGTCGCTCGCATACAGGGTGTCGAGGAAGTGAAGAATGGCGTTCGTTACATGAATGTTTCTCGATTATTAATCGATTTCAGTCTCGGTCGTGCCAGATTTCGCATAAACGATCACCTGAATGGCAACAATGTAATCGGTCAAGCGATGAATCAGTTCCTGAATCAGAATATCAAGGAAATCATTGAAGAGATGAGACCGGCGGCCAGTGCAAGTATCGGCAAGTACTTTAAGGACTTCCTGAATGCCGTCTTCACCAAACTGCCCTTGAAAGTTTGGATGCACGATACGTAATAGTTACCAATTCTCGATAACGCGATATGAATTTCACGCGCGACATCCATGACTATCATACATTTCATGATTGCAAATATCGTAACTCTTTTTATATAATAATACGTAGTAAATAAGTAATCATGACTTTATAAGATTTATAAAAGCATAAAACATACGTAATGATTATAATTCATGATTCATCAAAATCGGTTTACGTATAATTCACACGTACTTTAAATTAATGAAATAAATAATAATTACGACAAATTTGATGCGTTTTAATCGATTTGAAAGTAATAGATTTAAATTGACAGTACATTCTCAAACTTTGTTTTTTGAGATTAAAACTTGATTTGTCGTTAATAAAATGATATGCAATTTACAAACATTTATATTATAGTTATTATATGTATACGTACACTCATTTTATTGAATTAACGCGTTCCAATTTATCATATAAAATTTATCATTATCGTCGAAAGATGATTATATGAAATTGTATAAAATAGATACATTTAGAAAGGCATAAGTATTAATAATTTTATACATTTCAAGTACTCTTTAATAAAACAAATAAATAAATGTCTACCTCGAAATAAATGAATTTTAGTTTGTATTAAATTGCAAATTAATGAAAAGTAACTGTTAAATCAATTTTAACTGATAGTAGAAAATTTCACACAATTTTGATAATAAAAATTCTTTCGAATTCTCTATATTTCTTCTTTTTACTTTTCCACTTTTACACGCTTCTCTAAGCAAAAATACTCATTAAAATTAATATCTTCAATTAATTATTTAGCAATTAAAGGTATACTTTCATGGCATTCCATTCGAGGAAAGAGGGACGGCATTTATGTACAAATGAGAATGAAATTAAAGAGAAACATAGATAATCCGAACGAGAAGAGAAGGCGGCGAAGTCAGCTCCGGCTTGCCGATTGCTCGTAGATTCATGCTTTGCAACGCTTTGAGACGCGCTTGGCAGCGCGTTGGCCGATAATAAAATTAGAACCGTGGTAGGACATATCATTTCGACCTCCGACCTCCTTCTTCTCTCGATTCTTGCAAAGTCCTTAAAAGTGAACAACGTCTCGCATAGTCGGCAACGACGCTCGGCCACGCACGTAGTAAACACATGTGCGCACGTGCCACGGACGAAAGGAGACAAAACGAAATACTGTGTATAAGTATCGCAACTAAGTGTGTACTATTTGCCATAAGAGTGACGAGCAAGTGTTCTATCAGTCAATCGTGTCAAACATCGTTCCTGATGTAAATCCGGAATTTTTCAACGCTCGTCTTCATCGGTCAACATCGCCGATCCGACCTTGCATCGCGAAATCGCGAGGTGGAAGAACAAAAGTGTGTAAAATCGGATCGGCAAAATTATGGTCAAGTTTACCAAGCGACAATGGCTCACCCTGATTGTCATCAGTATCGCCGATTTCGCGAATGCTATTTGTGTATCGTTACAAGCCCCGTTCTATCCTCAAGAGGTAAGAACGACAGTCGCCTCCGATTTCCCGGGATCGATCGATCTTTTTCGAATGGAATTCTCATTACGAGTAAACAAGATATATAATGTAAAAGACGCTAGCGATAGTTTTTCAATTTATTTTTTATGCGTTTAAGCGTCGCTTCAAAGTGAAAAATCTTTCAATCTTCAAGATTCCCTCGCGCAATTTCAGATGATAGCGATGTTTGCGTTACACGTTTCATAGACATAACAAGATGATAACAATCGACTGATGGTGCCATTTAATATAAATGATTTACTTTGTAAAAAGCGAAATTAAAACAAATTTAAACTGTCGTCGATGAGATACGAATTCCAAATACAATGGTTTTCAAATATAACGAATCAACATGAATGTTTACATACTACATACATACTACATTCTCATTATTGCCTTGCTGTTCTTGTTTTGATAATGCAAAGCATCATCAAAACATTTAAATCTCTCTCATCAAGAGAATGTAATAGAGAATATAAAACATAATTTATATTAATCATAAATTTATGTTAACAAAATTTATGTTAACATAATTTATGTTATTTACGTTTTATTTAGTTTTGTCTTTAATAATATATTTAGAGAAGTTTCTTTCTAATGTATATCAAATGGCTATTGTCTTCTCGCATTTTAGAGTTGCCATCAATTTTATGCATTTGACATTTTCAATTGCCCCTGCACTATTTTTCAATTTTCATTATTACATTACATTTATCAAATTACAAATTATTTTTATACTTATTTCGTATCATATTTCATTAAATAAATTATAAAAATATAATATTAATTATATATAAAATTACGTACATAATATGAAATATGTAAATATAACAGTACATTATTCTATATTTGTTTTATAAAATTTTTAATTTTGATTTATTAAAATATAAAATAAATTAAATTAAATTCAAATTATTAAAATAAAATCATTAAAATAATCGACTGAAAAAGGACTGAAAAGATTTGAAATTAATGAAGTAATACATTTTTCCATGCAATATTTAAAGCGTCGGAGGCATCAAATTATCCGAGTTCAGATCATTCTTCCAAGAGTGCAAAGGTTAACATTCGCTGAAGAAATCTTCTCGATAAGTCTTGGCAGGTTCAATTAATTTTTTTCTTAATAGAATCTTTATCGTGAAAAGAAAAAAAATTCGAAAATTAACACATTATTAAGAAAATACAAGAAAATATAATCTTGTTTTTTGCATCAGAAGAAATGGATTTTATTTCTACGAGAAGACAGTTTTTATCGGTTTGCGTGCGTTATTACACGTCAGAATCTATTTGCTGCTTTTTAGTTAAAAATACATTACTGGTACTTATCTGGTTACAAACCGATAATTAAGTACAAAGTTAAGTCCAAAGGAATGAGATCTTTCAACAAATGTGTTTATATCATAATTTATTTCTTCATTGCATAATAATATTATTCAAAGATCCCATGTAATTTCTCTTGCCATTTCTTTTTCAGTTTTCTTTGTCTTGTTTCTCTTTTAATTCTGTTAATAATATTAAATACGTAATAGCAAACATACAATATTATTATAAGATAACAGGAAAGATTATGATATTTTAATGAAATTCACGTGCATACAATAACACATGTGCGATCACAGATTGCATTTAAAATTAAATGCATCATCTTCACATATTGTAACAAACGCAAGGAAATTAATAATTTTTTTCTGGTTTAAACAAATATTCAAAAAATATATTAAGTATTCACTGATAAAGCATGTGTCTAAGAATCTTGTTTGTCTACAAGACAAACGATGACATTCGATAATTCGATTTGTAGTCTCGTCGCGTAGAGCAAAGCTCCAAAGTTTATCGGGATATTATCTTGACGAACATTAACATTGCACTGTGACGTGATAATCGGCGGAATTACTGCGCAGCTCAAATGTCTTCAAATTGCCAATATTTTGACATTGGCAAATTAACATATATGCGTATATATGTAAACATACATTGGCATAGATGTTTCTTTCTCACAGGCTGAGAAGAAAGGCGCGTCGCCATCGGAATATGGATTGGTCTTCGGGATTTTCGAATTGGTAGTTTTCGTTATTAGCCCAGTCTATGGACAGCATGTAAGTAAACAACATGTAATAATTAACGATTAGCATAAGACTTATTTTCAAGATCGCGATAATAAATGTTGCGTCATAAGTCAAGTCGTTGTCACATTAAGTAGATAAAACTGAGTAATAAATTTCCTTATAATCTGAAAAATTGTTTTTTTCATTTTCGCTACGGTCATTAATTATTCTCATTCATTTGAGCCTTATCTGCGTTAAAATATCCGTCGCGACTAATTATGACTATCATCGCAAATAAAATATTGAAATAATAAATGTACTGAATAATAAAAAAAATAATAAAAATATATATACATACAAAGTGCTATACATGTTATAAACATAAGGAAATTTAAAGTGCCTAGATAATGATTAAGGTCGTAACATGGCAAGTCAAGATTTGCCATTCATCAGGGTTGTTGAATAGTTGCACAGGCCGTGTAAATAAGTTTCGTAAATCAGTATTTAATTTGTTTAAAATAGTATTTCTGCGAAAAAATAATCAGAAATTTGTAAATATTTTTAATAAAAAATTATTTCTTAAAATATTTGTTTGAAATTGATTTTTCATATTCAATTTTTTTCAATCAAAATGTAAAAAAATCTTGAAACTTGTATAATTGTTTTCGTAAAATTCAAAATTATATAATATATAAAATATATGCAAAAATATTTAAGTTTATATATAGAAATGAAAATTTATACGCAAATGTCTAGCGTCTTTTTAATAAGCGATTTTTTTTTTAATTCAAAATAATTTTTTCCTCAAAATACCACGAGAAATTATATTTATTTTATAATTTATTATTTTATAATTTTTATAATTTCATTTATAATTTTTATTTAATTGACTATTTTCTGCAGCTCAATCGAATCGGTCCAAAGTTACTATTCAATGGCGGTATCCTAACTACAGGAACTTGTGCTATATTTTTCGGTTTATTGGACAAGGTCGATGGTCATTATCCATTCATAATTCTATCTTTCTTGATCAGAATTGTGGAAGCATTGGGAAATGCTGCATTTTTAACAGCTAGCTTTGCTATTATCGCAAAAGAATTTCCGAACAATGTCGCCACAACGTTCGCCAGCTTGGAAACCTTCTTCGGCTTGGGTCTTATCGTAGGTCCCACTGTCGGAGGTGCACTTTATGAGGTACAATGCGTTTCCTAATGATACTGCTTCAATTTCTCTCTTTTACCATTTCCACTACAGATATTTATATTTTGTACAAATTCAAAAATAATAATGTATTGGTCGCATATACGACAATTTTAGTAAACGTCAGTAGCTAATTAATTATTTATTCGAATATTATTAATATAATGAGATATTATTAACATATCAGGTAGGTGGATATACCACACCATTTGCAGTTCTTGGCTCAGCATTATTCGTAGCAGCTGTCAGTACCGCATTCATTTTACCCATGCATAACGATAGCGATCATGATGCTCACAACACCGGAGGTACTGCTCGTTCGAACAGATATTTAAACCGTGACCAGATTGATTTTGCATACAATACATTGTCCGTTATGATTCGCAGGAGTAACGAAAGTCTTGAAAATCCCCGGCGTAATGATCGCCTCCATGTCGATAATTGCGACAAGTATGAGTATTGGATTTTTGCAAGCAACATTGGAACCACATCTGAGACAATTCAATTTGAGCCCAGTCGTGCTAGGATTAATGTTTGTCATTAATGGTGGCACTTACGCGGTAACCGCACCAGCATGGGGTTGGCTTTGCGACAATTATTGGCATCCAAAGGTAATTTCATAATACAAATACAAAAAAAAACTGAATTTTATATACGATAGAGTCGTTTTCAGTTGGATTATCTTTATAAATTAAATCACAATAGCAAGTGTAATCTGCAGTTAACCATTTTAAAATTATATATCAAATTTTACATAAAATAAATTTAAAGTGTAAAATAAATTTAAAATAAATTTATATAAAAGTATATTGAAATAAAAAGAATGCAACGTTTTTTTTTAGGTAGCAACCGTTGCCGGTTGTGTTCTCGTAATGATCGGTTTCTCCCTGATCGGTCCAGCACCGTTCATTCCGTCGTCTACTATAATGTTGATGACCATCAGCGGTCTTGTGATCCATGGTTTAGGCATGGCTGCTCAACTGGTTGCAAGCTTCACGGATGCCTTACGGACCTCCATGTAAGTCGTATAAGAATATTTCTGAACATGTGAATCGACTATTCACAACTCGCAAGATGATAATTTATATTATATAATACAAATCGACAATGCTTCTAATAATATCGCTTGTCCGTGTTTTATATTAAGATCGTTTGGATTTCCAAATAATCTTGAAACCTACGGACTCATTAGTGGATTGTGGACAAGTACTTTTGCCCTCGGAGCATTCATCGGCCCTAGTATTGCTGGGATTCTACTAGACAACATTGGTTTCAGAAATGGTTCTATGTTTATCGTATTACTTCATATGCTAGTGGTATGTCTGCATGCTTTTTTATTCTTTTAATTATAATTATTCTTAATAAATATTAAAGTTAATTTTATTCTAAATCTGAGCTATCCAAAAAGAGACACTATAATCTAATATAATATCTTTCAAAAAATAGAATCCTGAACATTTCCAAATTATACTCACATAGAAAATGAAATTTCGTTTTATTTGAATAATTCTACCAGATGTCTTCGAAAACTTAAATCTTTGGTTTTCAAGAATGACCAACGACGATCAACACTTTGATCGTCAGTTACTTAAGCATTTTAAATTAAAATTTTTTTTTAATAGTATGATATATATAATTTGAGTTATAGTGGAAAGTCTCTGTGTGCGTCTTTTTGCAGGGTGTGGTAGCTACAGTATTCTTGACTACTTGTACCCGTACACCTAAACCGTACACCGATATCGGCGCGGTCGAAGATCCCAGAGTACCACTGGTGGAGAGCGGCCGATTGGGCAGTGGCAGTCTACATCAGAACGGACGGGGCCAAAGTGTGCCGATCGATAGGCATGCCGGCGGCATGAACTCGCTGATCGTGTGCAACAGTTATTCGAATAGAGCCGGTGCATGGTCCAGAGCATCGTATAGCGGTCGCTACTCTCACAGTTACGGCTCCATAGAGAATAAACGTTATTTGGAGCTCACCACGTGATATTGAACGTTCGGGAATGGTATCAAGGGTTTAGGATTCTGTTACTTTCTGCTACTATTCGCCATCATTCATTCTCTGGCTTCGATCATCGAGATCTTCAATCTTTCAGTTTTTCCGCGAGACTTCATTCAACCGTAAATGCAAAAGACTGTTTATTATTCAAAAAGAATATTGACCGAAAATTAATATCCCATTATTACGTCTCACTTTATCAGTAAGTTAATGTTAAACAGAAATTTAGATTTCATTTAGAATTTACAATATCTCTAGTAATATATATATATGTATTCTACTACAGATATTATAAATTCTAAATGAAATTTCTATTGTTATACAATTATTTCATAAAGTTTACTTGAACTAATAATAATACCGCAATAACAGTAATAAAAAACGGTATTAACAATCAAAAATCTTATTGGCACAATTTAATTAAAATTAATTTTACTACAAAAATGTGCAAATTCTAAATAACATATATTTAATTTATGTTAAATATAAAACTTTTTGATGCCACATGATACATCGCAACTATGCTGAATTATCAGTAGATAGTGGATAGAATTATAATAATTATTACAAAAAAAGCATTTTTTCGCAAATTGCTTATAAAAAATGGTTTACTTCGTTAATTCTTGCGGATATTGCGATATTATTTTTCTCACAATTTCTATGCGTAATCTTAATTTTTTAATCTTAAAGTTAATCTTATAATGCAAAAAGATTATAAAAATTTTTTACTTATACAATACTAATTAAATTGGAAGACTTTATATATCCTTGAGAATATAATTTTGTTTATGAATCTTCGGTATACTCGGTATCTTCCTGCCTAAAGTTTCTGTATATGCAAAAAACTGTATATGCAAAAAGTTACAAAATATTATATTGAAATAATCAATCGCAGGAAGAAAAAGAGGAGCGAACGAAACACACGCTGATGCATAAAACGCTTCAAGCAGTATTCGCAGAGTGCGTTATCGCCGATCGCTTTATCACGATTTACTTAAATAGACTCATACTATATACTCTTTCGGTTAAGTTCAATTTGACTTCAACTTTCCAGCTGCTATTACTATTGAAATAATGCATGTACATCTACATAGACTTAAGAAGTCGATTCTTATCACTAAAATCCGCGTATTGCAAGCAGCAGCTGTAGCGCTAGTTTTCTAGTGATATACTCGTTAAACTTTTACTCTTCGCTCATAACATATATTTTACTAACACGTTCGATGATAATGGCGTCTATAGCATCTTTAAGAGCGATATTCACAAACCAGTTTACACGACAGCTGATAAATATTCCTCACGTTATATTATTATTTTTAATAGTGTAGAATATAGTATAATCATCCCGATTGTAAAATTAACGATTTTAATGTAAAGTAACATAAATATAAAGTATCTTGTCAGTACAACGGAAAATATCAAACACGTCGGGAATCGTGGTTGGCCGATATTCAATTGATGCTGCTTGAATCTAGAATTATGCGATTATGCCGTTGCACAAACCTGTATTTGCAACGGCATAATCGCATAATTCTATGTTGAGCGCCAACGGAAAAGGTAACGGACGTTGTGGGTGTTAATGGTGTCGTCGATATCATGTGTAAATGACTTTCGTAACAAGCTTGCTATGTAATTATTGCCAATCATTGCCGCAATTGTTCACACGAGAGGGAAACCGAGGAAATTAAATAGCAAAATTGTACATACACTGTTTTAATTATTGTTGCTATTTTATCCCAGAATAATCGTCACTCGTGCATCATATCTGTGTGTAAATTCTTCTTTAACAATATTGTAAAACATTGTAAGATAATTTTATACATAAAAAAATAAGGAATAAAGGATAAAGAATAGCAGTTGTAACGTGATGAATCTGCAATAAAAACATTTTTTATTTAAAGCATATTTTTCAATTAACTTCTTTAATTCTGTGAATATATACAGACCTTTTTGTTTGATGATTTTAAATTTACGAAACAACTATCTTTAAATTAAAAAAAAAACAGAAAAAAAAACAAAAAAGACTTTCTATCTAATTTAATATTAACGTGATAATGTTAATTATATTTTCATAATCTCATTTATAATAACACCTCTTTCTTGTTAGAGCTCTTTGTTTATATCGTACGTACTAGAAGCTAATACATTATACTTATAGAGATGCATATCCTTCTCTTTCTCTTCTTCGCGAAATTCACTTTCATGCGACTCTCATTGCCTTTAACAACCGCGGTGGGTTTCCGAACGTCGGCGTGCCTGACGAACGTAGTTCTTTCCTGTGTTCGATTTGAATTCCAAGCTGTTCACGCATACGCGGCACGCCCACGCACGTGCACGAATTCTTTAACAATATATCCGCGACTATGTCTCCTTACTCCTGACTGTGGATGTATAGCAATGTGAAAAAAAGGCACGTTCCCTGAACTCCGCACGTGCAAATGTGCGCGTCGATGATTCATAACTCAAATATTAAAAGTAGATAATCTCTTGATTCCAAGAAAGGGCACATGGCTAACTTATTTGATCACCATTTTGAGATATTTAATCTTAGATGTTTCTGTTCCTATGATTGACTGTCTCAGAAAAAAGTTTTATTTCAATTTTATTTACATCGAAATGCAACACCTTCATACCTTTATTTACAATGTAAAAAGAAATAAATTGCGACATTTAATTTACTTCTTCTTACTTTCTTATTTTGAAAGTGGCATAGAAAAATACAATTCCGTAATATTTCAAATTCCAAATGCAATGTCCATATTGCTCAACTTTTGTTAAATTTTATTGTTAAAATTTCGGTATTACATATCTTCCGATATTACACAACTATAGAAATTATATCCTCTAGCTATATATTTACATCATTTTATAAATATAGATAATTCAATTGTTTCCAAGTGAAATTTGCTAATTTGTCGAATAAATACATGTTCAAATTTGTTAAGTATTCTCTTTTTATTTAATTACTTGAACGTTCATGTTCAAAGTTTATTGCGAGAACTTAAGTATCCTTCTAACTAACTTTGTTTTATCTGCACGAGAATGTACAACACGTAAAGAGATAATGTGCTACTGTTTCCGTAACTATTTGTATTCCGCAGATCGTCATGTTCACTCGTGTGCATCGACCTGTCGGTAAATGATTCTGCTATTTCTGCAATATGCTAGCAAAATTTTATTCGCACTTCTCGCCGCGCTAATGACACTTTTTCACGTTATCCAACTGTTGCAAACAAAATCAATAATTAATATTAAAAAATTATCTTGTTATTTTAACAAGGGATCACTGTACCTACGCAAAATATATCGAATTTACATTTAATATGCGTGAAATAAATTAAAATAAAATTAACCATAAAAATATGATATAATGTTAAATCTAAGAGAGTTATCACAATTACGCGGATTGATAATTAAGATTATTCGTACAAAAATTGCTATTATCTTCATAAAGTCGGTATTTTCATAAAGATGGAAAAGACGCTTTGTGTAACGTTTGAGCGGAAGGAAGCAATAAAAGAGAGTAGACAGAGAGAAAGAAAGAGAGAGAGACTCGAAGAATTTGAAAGTCTTCGTCTTACCTTCTTTAAACACAGTCGAGCACGAAAGCGAAGTGGAGGAATGAAAGGAAGACGAGGGAATTATTAACGCATACGGCGTTGCTCACCGGTGTGCATCCAAGTGTCCACCGAAGCACTAGCCTCTCTTCCTCCGACACCCCCCCCTCCCCTCGTCCCTCTTTCCACTATGATTTCCAACTTCCAGACATAAGGTGTTACGTCGCGAATTCCTACGGATCTTGTCGTCCCGGCTGGTTAAATGCAAGAATTCTCTACCGGAAGAAACAGCGGTCGAGGGCAATGTAATTGCAATTGACGCAATTAAATAATAATCCCTCCCTTTTAATCCAAAATTTATCCATTCTTGAAGTTGTAATTAATTTTTTTAATTATATGTTAATTAATTATTTTTAATTATATCGTGACATTGTTGTTTAGCTGATATTGAAAATTTTATGCCAGCAGAAAGTTTTATAAAATTCTCAATAAATAAATTTAAATTAACTAAAATTTCATATTTATCAATTCATTATACTTAAAGCAAATCTGATACAATTTAATCTATTTAATCTAAATCTAACAAAATTTAACTTTTTTATGGAAATGTTTAACGATCCTAAAAATTCTCTTAAAGCTAATTTTTCAAATTAGATTTTTTTATTTATCACAACTTGTAAAATCAAAATAAACGATGTTTATTCAAATGTTCGGAATTAATGTCAAAATGAATTTTAACATTTTCATCAGCGGTGTTCCTGTAAAGTAAGAAACAGACCAAGCCGAAATAAATATCGATATCAGCTCCTTATGCAGACAGACAGGTATCAATACACCTTGCTCCAGACTTCCTCGACCTACCATCAGGTGCACCTATCGGGCGAGGTGCTGCCACCTGAGCAGGTATACCCGCAGGTAAGGGCAAACATAATGCTTACGAACATATGTATAACCCGCGAAAAGGAGCAGGTCCGTGGAAAGGGGGTTGCCGGTCGTTCCTCCCACCTTTCGCCCTGTCAACCGGTAGAGGGGTCCCGATGCGCAAGCGCAAAGACCCGTGGGTCCTTTGCACCGAGAACGAACGGCCGGGGCCCGACTCCGGAGACTCAAAGTACGTTTCTGTCGTAAGAGAAGGTGCCGCGGTACGTGTTAGTCGTCAGCGGTTCTCTCAGTAATTCGTCCGTCTAACTCTTGCGGAGTAATTCCTCGCAAGTTCTCGTCATCTTTTAATTTTTCCCTCTTTTACTGTTTCTTCTTTTTCCTTTCGCCACTGTTCGAATGCGAGTGAAACGTGCGCGCGGTTTTGGAATTTCGATACGTTATCAGTGACGAAAGGGGTGAGAGAAGAAGAGAAAAAAATTACTCGTGTTTATCGGTGTACACTGTGCTATGGGGATCTAAGAATATCAGTCAAGGTGAGTTGTTAATTTTTCTTTTGCTAAGGAAATTTTTCTCTCTTAACTTTAAAAAGTACAGACGTTATGGAACTTAATTAGATTACAGTTACATAACACATATAAGTCTTCTCCGAATATTTTAAAGAGGAAATTAAAATTTTGTTTTTACTACAATTTATAAATAAAAGAAATTAGTAGGTTTCAAAATTTAAGATTAAAGATTTAAGATTAAAATTTAGATTGTTGGTCCCTTAATGTAATAATTCTGCGTAATGCAATACTTCTTAAAGTTTAAAAGACTAAGTTTACATTTTGCGATGATAAACACAAACAAACGAACATAAATAAATATAGAAAAGAAAACGTTAAAAAACGTTAAAAGTACTAGATTTGAATATTAACAAAAATTTTGTGTTTTACTCGATTAAACTGTTGTTTTTTTTTATAAATTCAGAATAAATGGGACGAATCTAAATTACATCACAAATCCATTCAAGATGTTATAAACTTGCGGATTGTGCAGCTACAACAACTTTATGACATCATGAAATTATCCTAAACATAGGTCGCGCGCATGTGCCATTCACTTTTTATGAGGAATGACGAAATGAAAAGTTGAAAGGTGACAATAACATTAAAAATGTCAAAAGCTATTGATTTATAGGACAATACATTCAATTACGAATCTTGGTTTACGGAATCTGAGTTTATAGAATCTTACATCGTACTTATTCGAAATAATTCTTAGAATTTCTATAGAATTTCTTCAAATAGTTTCTTCCAAATATACATTTCTTTTTTTTTTGTCAAATATCCGAAGGTGCTATTACGTGCATTTAATTATCGCCTGCAACTAATCACAAGAATATAATAATATGCGTAATCGTGTTCTCGCGGGATGCACAGGAGGAGGCTTCGCAACATTTACATTAATATTATCGCGATACGAAAATGCAACGCGATCTGCAGAGGTAGATAGAGCCAAGCGGAGCACTGACCGGTGATTTGAATGCGCGGTGCAATCGCCAGGCACTACGATTCATAAACGTTCCGTATCTGCAACCTGGTAGCAGAAATATGATACACGCACGAGCATAAACATCGTCGTAATTCGTTTTTCCAGACGATCGCCTGATATTACTCATACCTATTGCACTCGTAATATAAATAATTTTCGTACTTTTGCCGCCTTAACAACGTCATAGATGAGATTATCGAGAAAAAGAATACTCGTTTAGAAATCAGATTAATCATGGGTCTCACATTTTTCTTTTCGATTTGATGAAAATAGGTCACGATTATACACAGCTGGCCCGATTTCATCAGATTAACCTTACTTTTAAGTATTCGGAAATATGTAATTATGTTTAAGGATGCAACGCATATTTCGTTTTACCGCTTACCATATGGCGCGGCGCGCTCCGTTGTATAAAATATCGAAATTTATCGATTACGAAAATTATCGATTAATAACTGATGTTGGATTACAATAATCGTTTAAACACCTTCGGTTTTGTTCCGAAAAGAACTCAGCTATTCTACGCGTAGATTACAGTTGAGAGACCTGTTAGGGTATTTGAAATTGTGATTCCAGGCGTGTCCAAGTAGAGAACGTTAGGGCAAGCAGACGAATGAACGAACAGACGGACGGATGAACGTATGATGTGTACGTGTGTGTGTGTGTGTGTGTGTGTGTGTGTGTGTGTGTGTGTGTGTGTGTGTGTGTGTGTGTGTGTGTGTGTGTGTGTGTGTGTGTGTGTGTGTGTGTGTGTGTGTGTGTGTGTGTGTGTGTGTGCGTATGTCTACGCGTACGTCGCCGGAGATCAAATCACGGTTAGCCTAATGTCGGAACGAATAAGTCTATACGTAGGTGTGCGGTTGTATACCGCTGGAATCTCGACTGTGCTTTAACATCCTGTGATTCTTCGTGCCGCGCGAAAGGATTCCCGTAGGAATCCAATCTCACGCAGCATCTCGTTAATGAAGAAGAGAATACAGAGCTATTAGCTGAGAAGTAATAGAGAATAATCGTGGCCAATTTAGCTAATTTACGATTTAAAACAATTCTTAATTCACCGAATAGTGAAACACATATAAGCAGCAACACAAAAATATTGAAGTTTTTTAATAAACATTGCGTACTTTAACTTTTTTAAGGAAACTTTGAAGTAAGATATAAAAATGTATGTCTATGTATATCTATTTATGTATGTATATCTTATCTTATCTTATTTATTATCTTATCTTTTTTATTATCTATATCTTATCTTATCTATCTTATGCATATTCTTATTGTTGTTTAACACATATTAAAATATTAAAAACATCATTTAAAAGGAAAAAAACATAATATTTAAAAATTATTTTTTAAAAAATCTGACTAGTAAGTATTATACCTAGTAGGTAGATTTATTTTATTTTCATCATGATGTCATCGAGGGTAACGTAGCGCTGCGACAAGTTTGTGATATCTTTTTCTCTTTTCTCCTCTCTTCTTTAATCCACGTAAACAGGACGCAGAAAGCAAGCGTCATGCTCAACGGACTGAACGAAGATCGTGCGAACTACGGGTGCGCGATTAATCTCCATTTCGCGCAATTTCCTATATCGCGGCCCATTATCCTCCCGGGGGAGGGGAGGGGGGGGGGAGGACGTCGGGAATGCAAAATGTGCGCGGGGCTCAAATTAATCGCTCGATAACAACATGCGACCAAGTAAAATGCAAGACCCCACGTTGTACAAGGAGACGGACCGCCGTGACTCGTTACATGGCGGAATGACCACGGGTCTCCATCGGCAAGCCAATCGCATGTGTTTTGCATATGGACTCTGTTTGATTGCGGAGCCTCGTGTTGGGGCGTCGCTTGAGAGAGATTCGGAGCCTCTTGAACATCTCTGTGTTGCGCGCATGCATGAGGGATGTGTTTATTATGCTTTCGTATATGCGTATGAGTTGTGTGAGTGGCGCACGAGTGTGTGTGTGTGTGTGTGTGTTATTTGTGTGTGTGTGTGTGTGTGTGTGTGTGTGTGTGTGTGTGTGTGTGTGTGTGTGTGTGTGTGTGTGTGTGTGTGTGTGTGTGTGTGTGTGTGTGTGTGTGTGTGTGTGTGTGTGCGTGCGCCATCATGAAATGAGTCGAACCGGCTGCGACGCGCGCGCACGATGCATCTCAAGAGACCGTGCCCCGGAACTTCGTGGACCCTGGCTGGGTCCCCGACGAGTGCCCTGACGAATTTCTTTCTTTTACCGCATCACGTACGCGTTACGTACGGTTGCGGGAGCGTGAGCTGCGGTAAAAGTTTTACACCTCGCGGTTTATACGGACCGCGCGGGCTTTCCTTGCGGTCGAAAGCAGTGAACGTTTCCCGTCACGATATCGCGCGTATTAAATGCATACTTGTTTACGCGAGACCGAGCCCGCCAACTTTGACTCCCCCAGAGAAATAGATCTCGCGGCAATTGAACACGCGCAGAGTAATTAAATGTCTCCCAGCAAGATCGCGATAGATATCAAGTTAGACACGTTAATAAATATACCGAACATTTCGATAAAAACAGGATATTCTAACGGGATTTTAAGTAGTAATCGCCAATAGAAGTACGATGTTTAAAAATGCTCAATCGACAATACGGAATCCCGTGAGCCCTTATTATGGCATAATAATAAATTTCGAGACCCTGGCCGTTCCCGAGATGCTCGAGACAGGCATAAATGGCAATGCTGCGTTCGATCTATGCATTGGCTTAGCGGCCGTTGCATGTTCCGTGTATTTCTGCAACGTCGGGGCCGTGAGGCAGAGAAAAGCGAAGACCGTTCGTTCGTCTGATCGTCCGAAAAAGAACACCTCGGCGCGGCGAAGAAAGGCTCGTAAAAGCGGCGTGCAGTCATTGCACCGCATATAAGATCCGCGGGCTGCGCACCTCCGCCGCTCCGCCGAACGGCGAACAATGGCTGCTGACGTCACGAGACTGCACCTGCAGCTGTACGTGCATGTGCGCCGATATGCACGAGGACCGTCCCGTGAATCCCGAACGTCTCGTGGACTTTGTTCCGCGGTTTCTGAACCGTACGAACAAGTGTTTGATACATACGACGTATGGCGCCAGCATCTTTCCGCATAATTACATACGATTATTTTGCATATTGCTTGAAAAACCTTTTATTGGAAAAATATTCAATATAATATATGTGATTAATTTATCATCTTTACTAATATGTTATTTGTTGAGAGATTATCATTGGACTGATGCAAAGATTTGTCATTTCTTCGTCGGATCTTGTATTAAAGTTAAAAAAAAAAAACTAAAATATTTGAAAGGATATTGAAAACTTTTTCTGTAAATAAAAAAGTATACGAAAATTCAAAGCAGTAATTTTCTTCATTGAATTTTTGTTCAGCTTTTACTTAATACATATGAAAAATCTTTTGTACCAATATAATATTGAGTTTATTTAGATAAAAAAACGTCATCTTTTATTAAAAGTAATAACAAATAATAAAGTTAATTATAAAAATTCAAAGTGAGTTTTACTCATATTCACTGACAATAATCGATCGTCGCGAATTGCGAGATCTCGGAAATCTGATGACGGAACGCGATGTCTCTCACGACACGTGGCGTGAAATGTCACGCCAAATGCATCATCGCGCGAAGATCCGTGGCGGGATGTATTCGTAAAATTTCGACAAATTATCGTTGGATTACGATCGTCGACAAAACACAATCCTCGTCCTCCGAGCAATTCTCTCACGTTACTGCATAAAAATATCGGCGCGACGGGACAACGCGAATTTTTTCGGGCCCGATCGTTCTTCGGCTGGACTTTCACCATTTAAAATTCGTCTGCCTTCACCTGACCGAGTCATCGCTCGTCCCGCTCTCAAGACCGGATCGGATCGAGAGAAGGAGGCCTCGCTAAATATCTTATTACTTTTGAATTAACATATCGGTACCGAGATAACTGGACTTTTTCTTGCCGCGGCTCTCTGTCAGCACACATTGCGGAACGTTCTTAGGA